AAGAGAGACAGAAGGGGCATGGGAAAGTGGGTTGCCGCCTAACTTTCTTAACTAGACCCCTAATTCCCAGAATTTCTACTACCTCCTAAAAACGTCGTCATTGGGGACCAAGCCTTTAGCACATGACTGTAAGAGGGTATTTCAGATCCAAACTGTAAGAACAGCTATCTTTAAGATACAGAGAATTTAAGTAATTTGCCCAGTGTCTCTTAACTAGGAAGCAGTATGTCAGAAAGTCTGTACTTCTAATCAGTGTGGTATATTGCTTTTTCATGAAGGTCATCTAGTACAGTTCTTCCCTTCTTATTCTTTAGTCCTTTTATCATACCTCTGCCTACAAAGAATAAAGATAAAGAATTTATATTTAAGCAGCAATAGAAATTTGTGAAGATTAAGTATGTATAGTCCATAAAGAAAATATCAACATTTCCGAAGCAGCAACCTAAGAAGCACATTCTTTGACCACGAAATAATAAAAGTAGACATGGAAAAAGGAAAAGCTAAAATAGAAAAAAATCTTAAACACTTGGAACATTTAAGAATATTTAAGTGATATCTTAAAATCACTTTAGGGTTAAAGAGAAAATCTGAAGTAAGATTGTGTAGAAATGGACATCTCTAAGGACCAGTGGAAAGTTCCAACTGGTAAAGAAAAGTATGTAGTCTTAAAATGAATCTTATTAATGACCATAGCATATAAATGAATTAAACTCTGAATTCAAGAAACTAGATAAAAGCAACAAAATGAAAAAGTAAAAGGGAAAATTTAAAAATATGAAAACAGAAGTCAGTGAGAGTACTTTAAAATGGATTTAATAAATAATCCCAAAACTTGGTTCTTGGGAAAAAACAATAAAATAGGCAAATCTCTGAAAGAAAATGGAGAATACAGATACATTAATCTTATTTTCTCATCCCATACCTACAATATCAACAAATTTCATAAATTCTGCCTTTAAAATATGCACACCAGTTTTAACCAGTTAGCATCTCATTTCTATCATTTTAGAGATAGTTCTCATCTCTCAGGCTACTCTAGGAGCTTCCTGCAGTTATGGGGTTTTTTGGGGGGGCGGAGCAGGATTGAAACCAGGGTCTTGCATATGCTGAGCAAGCACTCTATCAACCACTGAGCTACACCTTTGGCTCCTGCAATCTATTCTTTATATAGTAGTCTTTAATCAAAATTCTTTAAAGGTTTCAAAAAAATTCAGTCTTTACCCTAGGGTCTATAGTGCGTTGTATAATCTGAATCCTGGCTACTTTCAGACTCCTCACCTACCCCTCCTTATTCTTGTCTCATCACATTGATGTTGTTCCTTGACCATGCCAAGCTTATTGCTGCTTCAGTATTTTGCAGTTGCTTTTTTCCTGGTATGAATCTTCATACACATTCTGAAGGCTTACACTTTCATTTCACTGAGATCTCTTTTTATTTTTATTTTTATTTTTTTTTGATACCGGGGATCGAACTTGGGTCCTTGCGCTTGCGAGGCAGGCACCGGAACCACTGAGCTAAATCCCCGGCCCTGAGATCTCTTTTTAAATCTCATCCTCACAGAGGAGCCTTTCCTGATCATATTTGTGTGAAATGTAGCACACTCTCTATTAACTTTTTCTTCATAGTATTTCTACTACTTGAAATTAGGTTACATGTATTTTTTTTACTTGTTTTGTTTCCCCTTCTAAAAGGAGGAAAAGACTTGTCTGACTTTTTCTTTTAAGCTCTTTATTTCCACCACTTACAATATTGCTTGATACATAGTAGCAAAGATAACAATTAGTTGAAGACAGGAGAGAAAAAAAGGAAATCTAAGGACAGATAACAGTGGAGATTAAGAATAATACAAACAAAAGCGTAAGAGAATATTGCATATAATTTTTAGTTGAAAAATTGAATTAGATGAAATTATTTTTCTCAAAAACTATAATTTTAAAATAAGCAAAAATCCAATTACACAGAATATCAAAAACAGGTAAATCCATAGAAATAGATTGGTATTTGCTGGGGTTTGAGTTCTGAATTTTGAAAGCATATCAAGATTGTTTTTTAAATAATATCTGCTCTTCATATAGCTGAACCATAGGTTTTAATTTAATTTTAATTTTAATGTGCATGCACACACGTGCGTGTGTGTGTGTGTGCATGCATGTGTGTGTGTGTATGTGTTCTATTTTTTGTGGTATTGGGGATTAGTACCTAGAGCAGTGCCTGGTGTATTCTAGCACCCATGTATGTTTGCTGAACGAGTAGATACACACTTCTTTTCTTTTTTAAAACGTGCTGCATATTGGCTCATGTTGAGACTTACTCTAGTATATGGTTTTCCCTTTGCTTTGTCATTCATTCATTTATTAATTGTCTATCAGGCACTTAATATGTGCGAGGTAATGCACCCTTGCTAGACTAGTGCTCTACCACTGAACTACATCCCCAGCCTAATTTAGACATGATTGTCAATTAGATCAAACTATTTTTTCTCATATAGCTTCAGTTTGTGGAGTTTTATATTAATAGTTTAATAAATTTTCTCTTGGTATGTTACCTTGAATAAGAAAGTCATTTTACCAAAATTTAAATATGAAGTGGGTAATTAGCTTTAAATATTTTATGTTTTATTTCATTCTTTGTATGTTTTAGTAATTTTGAATAGAATGTTTTAGAAACAGGAAGAAAAAATATTCTTCAAAAAGTGATTATTACTGTAATTTTTTTACCCATCAAAATTTTTTACTGTTGTGAATTTTAGGATGTTATCTTGGTTTATATGTAGATGTGAGAGTTCCTTCTTTTTGACTCACAGCCTTATTGAATTTTATTTTTTAAATTTAAAATTTTTATTAGGGCATGTTCGCAATATATAATGATTACATTCATCATGGGGAGTTGGTACTTGTAACACATCTTTTTACTTTCTATTCCCCTTGCCTTCCTCCTGCTTCCCTCCATCTCTTGGTCCTCTTTGCCATTTGCAAAAGATCTGGGTCCCTTTTTCCTAGTATCTGTCTCCTATTTTGCTCTTTAAATTAATTATTCTGTGAGTTTTTCCTCATAAGAGAAATCATGTGATATTTAAGTTTGTGTGTCTGATTTATTTCACTTAACATTATAGTCTCAAGGAATTCTTATTCAGTTTTAAATAATAATTTGTTCTGATACCCATACTTCTATATTTTCTTCCTTTTGAAACTTTGAACAGTATAAATATAAATATTGTAGATAAATATTAGAAAGTCTGGGATTTTCTTCAGGTAAAATGTTGAACTATGTGTAGAATTTATCCTGTGTTTCTTTTAGATTTGGCTACATGAGTTTTTGAGTTATTGAAGGCTAATATAAATTCTAGCTTCTGCTATTTCTAGACAAATGATATCATAGAAACTTTAATTCTGTTTACCTTACTTCTGCCTTTTAGGTGCTGTTACCATTTTTAAGTCTGATACTTTTGAAATACTAATTTTAATACTTTAAAAATAGCCTGGGGTCGGGGATATAGCTCAGCCGCACAGCACCTGCCTAGAAAGCACAAGGCCCTGAGTTCAATTCCCAGTACCAAAAAACAAAACCCCCAAAAAACAACAATAACAAAAAAATAGCTGAGCCTGCATGGCACATGCCTGTAATCCAGGACTTGGGAGGCTGAGGCAGGAGGATCATTGCAAGTTCAAGGCAAGTCTAGGCTACATAGTGAATTCAGGGCCAGCCTGAACTACATAGAGACCTTATATCAAAAAACAAAACAACAAAAAAATTAAAGTATTGCTTTTTTTCTATTCAAAGCCCTTCATTTTCCTATTTCTTTTAGTACTAAATTCTTTGTTTTTGCATTTGAAATTATCTATATTTAATTTTTATTTTTCAAGGATTTAAAAAAAAAGTCCAAGAATAGATTTCCTGATTGGCACCTATTTTCTTTCAGAATTTTAAAGAAATCATTCCATTGTATTCTGCTATTTGTCACTTCTGATGAATGTCATATGTTGTTTGTTGCTACTTTAAATGTGTTTAGTTTTTCACCTAGTAGTTTTAGAGATTTTCTTTGACTTTATTTTTTAGTAGTTTAGCTATGATTTGCTTGGTGCTAGTGTTTTTCTTTGTATTTATTCTTGTGTTTTATGGGCTTTACAAAGAGTGGCTTTATATCTCATTAATGTTAGAAAATTCTTGGTTTTTATCACTTCAAATATTCTTCCTAATTTTCTCAATCTTTCTGAAATTATATATATATGTATATATGTGTGTATATATATATGCACACACATGTACACACACTTTTCAGTGGGTTCCATATATTACTAATACTCTTTTCTGTATTTCAACCTTTATTTTCTGTGGTTTGGTTGGTTTGGGTATTGTCTGTTGGTCTGTGTTCTACTTCATGTTTGTTCTGTGCAGCCTACTGGTCACACCAAGTACTGATAACACTTTTGGGAACTGCTGTGAAAAAAAACAAGGATATAGGAGCAGTGTGTGGACCACGCGGGAATGTAGAGTTCAATTTTATTTTTGGATAGGACACTAAAATATGTTGTAAATATGGTAAAATTTCTTGAGAGGATGAGAGATGTTTTGCAAAGTAGAGTTGGAAGGATTTTCCTTTCATAGGCAAGGATGTAGAAAGGATAGACACTGACTTACGTTTTTGGTACTAGGAATTGAACCTCTGGTCCTTTCGCTTGTGAGGCAGGTGGCAGAACCACTGAGCTAAATCTCTGGCCTGACACTGACTTATGCATGTCAAGTCTTATGAGATGGAATTTCCATTAGCTTGCCAACTGAAAATCTGAAGGTATTATAAGTTGAGGGGAGGATAGTGACTGAGAGATTGATTGTGTGTGTGTGTGTGTGTGTGTGTGTGTGAGAAAGACGGGGGTGGGGGACACAGATGTATATATTTAAACATAGTAATTGTTATATGCATTTAAAATTAATTCTTAGAGGTAATTTGAATAGAAAAATCGAGTGTTTTAAACATGTTTTCCTACATTTTCTTTTACAGTCTTGTACTAGAATAGCACAACCATGTTTCGGAATAGCCTCAAGATGCTGCTTACTGGTGGGAAATCAAGTCGCAAAAATAGGTCAAGTGGTAAGTGACTATGCTACATTTATAGTGTGATATATTTGAGAAATGTAGGCTCTTTTAGAGACCAAAATTAATGTTATCACTTTATTTAATATTTTAGATAAAAGAAAGTTTATATTACTATGGGCTATCCACTCTTTATAAAAGGTAGGAACACTTGAATACTTATCAGGAACAGTCAGGTGAAGGAAAAATTTGTGAAGGAAAGATAGTCATTTCTAATATATGAGAGTAATGTTTCTCTGCATCTATTTATTAAAAATTTTCTAGACATAAATTTATTTTTTAAATTAACAAGTGAAGTTATTTTAGTCATAGGTACTAAGTAGGTAGTGTCTGGATTTACAAAGAAAATAAAATATAAATTGAGTATCTTTACAACTTTAAAAATAGTTTATAGGGGCTGGGGATTTAGCTCAGTGGCACCATGCCTGCCTCACAAGCTCAAGGTCTGAGTTTGATCTCCGGTACCAAAAAAACGTTAAACAAGTAAAGTTTATGAAAAGTTTTTTGTTCTAGTTTGTTTTCCTTTGCTTTTAAAGAACAAAGGGGTAAGTCAGGCTTTTAAGGTAAATAAGGCAAAACTTTTCGGAGAGAATGTTGAAGAGAAACATAGTATAATTTTGTTGTTAATGGATGGTAGATATATTTTACTCTACAATCTTGTAGTAATTTTTCTGCAGTCTGTATGTTTACATTGAGAATATATTCATCATCGTTTATTTCAGAATGATTTTTATAATTTCCAATGTGATTTCTTCTTGACTCCCAGGTATTTAAAAGTCTACTTGTTGGTTCTAAATAGTTGATAATTTCCTGATGATGATGATGGTGATGATTTTTTTTAAGTTCTAGAGATTGAACCCAAGTCCTTTACACTGAGCCAAATCCCCAGTCCTTTCTTTTAGTTTTTATTTTGAGACCTGGTCTCACTAAGTTGCTAATTTTCCCAGGCTGCTTGCAGCCCTGCTGCCTCAGCCTTCCAGAGTGCTAGTATTACAGGTGTTTGTCACCATTCCCTGCTTTATTATTCTCACTAAAGGGAAAATTCCTCCACATCAACTAAAGGAAAATTCATTTTTCTTCTGCTAACCTCAGCATCAATTAAACATGTGAGTTTTCCCACACAACAATTCATGTCAATTTTGGCAGATCTAACTAGATATTTTGTAGTTTGATCCATTTTAACACCATCTTCCTGCAGTTAGCACAGACCCCACAGCTTTCGGGCTCAGTCCCATAAACTGACCCCCCCCCCACCTTGTCAGGTGTCATTTGCAAGTGGTGGGTCCCCAAGTGATCCACAACTTCTGTTTGATTTAGCTACAAATTGAAGGTTTCCATGACCCTCAGGTTTGATTGTTTTAGCTTGCAGAACTCAGGAAAATAGTTTACTTATAAGGTTACTGTTTGTTATAAAAGAACACAATTCAGGAACAGTACATGGAAGAGATAGAGCAAGGTGTGGGGCACAGGCGCACTGAGCTTGCATGCCCTTTTTGAGTGTGCCACCCTCCCAACACCTCTATGTGTTCACCAACCACAAAATTCTCTAAACCTCATCCTTTCTGATTTTTATAGTCTTCTTTGTATAGATATGATTGATTAAATTCAGACCTTTTCCCTTGCCTAGAGTTTAGACGGTAAGTCTGAAAATTGCATATTCTTACCTCTACTCACTTAGTTGGTTTCCTTGGCAACCAGCCCTAATTTTAAATCTAAGAGCCTTTTCTTTCTGTTATCTTGTTTGATTTTGGTGAGCTTCTTTGGTCTGTGTGTTTTTGGTCTTTCTCCATCTGTGAAAACGCTTAACCATTATCTCTTAAAGTGTTTTTTCTATCCTTATTTCACCTTTTTTGGGGGGATTTAGTTTGTATGTTAGATTTTTTGGTTTTATCCTCCCTCATATCTCTCAAAATGGTTTTTCTTCCTCTTGCCTTCTCCTCTTCCTCTTGCCTTCTCCTCTTCCTCTTGTCTTCTTCTCTTCCTCTTGCTCCTTCTCCTGCTCCTCTTCTTTGTTCCTCCTTTCTCCTTTTTCCTTTGGTTAATGTGTATTCACCTCTCTTCCAGTGTATCAATACTTTCTAATACAGTGTTCAGTCAGCTTCTTATCCCAGCCAATGAATTCTTAATTTTTTTTTTGTACCAGGGATCAAACTCAGGTAGGGCCGGAGATTTAGCTCAGTGGTTCTGCTGCCTGCCTTGCAACTGCAAGGACCCGAGTTTGATCTCCGGTACCAAAAAACCCCCCAAAAAACATACAAACAAGTAGTGATTGTTAGCTCTAGAGTATCTACTTTGTCTATAAAACATATTCCATTTCTCTGCTGAAATTTTATCTTTTCATTTTTCTCTATATTTACCTCATCTTTTAAAAATATTTAATTAATTAATTTGGGTACTGGGGATTTAATCCAGGGCCTTTGCACTGAGCTATACCCTCAGCTCTTTTTTATTTTTTATTTTGAGATATTTTATTTTATTTTTTATTTTTTAAGTTTCTATTTTTTCCCAGTCTAGACTTGAAGTTGGAATCCTCATACCTTAACTCCCCCAAAGTACTGAGGTTATGATATCTGGCTTATCTCTTATTTCTTAACTTGTTTGTGATACCTAATAATAATAGTGTAATAGTTGATGCTCTACTAATTCCCATATCTAGGTTGTGTTCTTTTCTTACTTTATCACTTGTTTATAGATCATACTTCACTTCTTATTCACATGTACCAACATTATTCTTTTGTTTCCCAGACATTATGTTTCAAAGAACTATAGAGGCTGGAGTAAATAGTATTTTTCCACAGAGAGGAAAAGCATGTTTTTATATGAGGCAGCTGTGATGAAGAGCTGATCACTTGGATTTGAAAACTTGCTGAATTGGTTAATCTCTACACTTAGGTCTGTTCTTTTGTGTATGTCAGGCATCTCCTTTTAGCAGTATCTAAACACCTTCTAATTAGAAAGATCTTTCTCAACTTTATAGCCAGGCTTCTAGTATCCCAGATTATTGTCACCATGAATTTATCAACAGTCTTGTGGGATGACTCAGTGAGTGGGGAAATATAGGTTTGAATTTGGGGTTCCTTCACCTTTTGTACCAGGGGTTGGTGCCATGGCCTGCACGCTAAATCTAGCCTACCTGTTTTTGTGAAACAAACAAAAAAAGTTTCACTGGAACACAGCCAAATTCCTTCATTTATATACTGTTGACGCCACATCTGCTTTCATGCTATATGAGCAAAATTTTGTAGCTGCAACAGAGATTAACATATTTAGTTTGGCCTATTACAGAAAAAGTTTGTTGACCCTTGCTCATTAAGCCAATTTATGTAGTAAATACACATTTTGCTCATTCTTTTCTTTAGCTCAGTAGAGTCTTTCATCAATATACATATATAGGTCAGTCTTCTTCCTTTCAGTGCTTAAGCTTAGTAAATGACCATAGTAATCTTATGAAACTTCATCAGATTGTATCAACTCTCATCTCAGAATCTTACAATAGATTTTAGTAGGTCTTAGAGTAAACCTCAAAGTTTTTCACTAAGCCTATAGAATCCTTGATAATACAAACACTGCTTGCTCACTTCTTTTTTTCAAACTCTCATGGTCTTTCTTCTCACCCATCTCCATTACAGATTCTATCCTATCACCTTATACTACATAGCACTTTTGTACTACATAACACTTATGCTACATAGCACTCTTCAAGATTGTCCTTATATTACATGGCACTCTTCAGTAGTTTGACATTGTTTGCTTGGTTTTGTTTTTTGATTGTCTTCTTCAAGTCCTATGAGCTCACTGTCTAGATATTCCCAGCATCTAGATACATCTAGATGTTGCCTGGAAATTCATAGGAGTTGAATAAATATTTGTTGAATTAATGAATACACTATTTTCTCTGACTTCTTCTCACTTGCCTATACCCTCATCCTGCTGCTATATTAATCTTCCTAAAGGACCACTTAGAAACTTAGTTGGGGAAGACCTGACTTGACCTAACTTCTCTAGTCAGAATTCTCTGAACTCATATTTGAAACTTTCTACTTTATCCAGGTCAGTCTTTTTAATGCCTTGTATTTTCTGTACCCCTTTGATCATGACATTAACCTTATCTGGAATAAACTTGCCTTATATTCAAATTGTCTTTAAATCCTACTCAATCATGATAGCCCATCTTATATCTCACTCTGGTTATAGTGATCATTTTTGCTAGTCATATTATAGTATTTATTACCTGTATGTCTGATGTGGAACTTAATGTAATAATGGCTTGTATTATTTATGAACATCCCAGAAATACTTCCCTAGTATAGCTTAGGAACATATACTTTTATTTCTGTAGTAGTTCGTACTACCACTACATTTACATTTATATATCTATATCTCTTTCATTGAAAGAGCTCATATAATTAAACAGCATCTATGAAGCATTTGTTGAGCAACAGTTACATGTATATGTTTCATATTTCACAGAAGTAAATGATATATGTTACCTCATTTAAGCAAATTCCTTTCAATTTTACACATGAGAGAGAAAACAGTCTTACTCAAGGTTATGCAGCTAATTGGGCTGGGGGTGTAGTTCATGTGTACTTAGATTGTGAGTAGACCTGGTTCAATTACCAGTAACACAAAAAGCAAAAAATGAGAAGATTATACAGCTAGTAGGAGTAGAAACCATGGAATTCTCATTTTACATGTGTTGTTATCACTGGATAAATGAGGTGGTTGAATAGAATTAAGTTAAAACAGATCTGAGAACTATATATTTTTCTTTGAAGAAGCAACTAAGAGGTTGAGATTTGATGTTGCTAAGGATGTAGCAAATCAATAAATAACCAAGGTTTTGCTTGTGGTAGAGTTGAGAGAGATTTTATTTTTTAATTTGCATATTTGATTTTTTTCTTGCTTTTCGTGGAAATATGAAATGGATTTCAGTTATAAGTTATAGGTTGATTTTTCTGTTTCTCAATATTATTTGAAAACCACCCCTTAAGTGT